TTGTCTCTATAAATGTCTTTGCCACGTTCTCCTGTTCCATACCCAATTTCCTCCTTGGGTGGGGCCCACTCCTTGGCAACACACATGGAGTTTTTTTGTTCCCTTTTTAAAGTTCAATGCAAGAACTGTTTGTTTGACGATGGAGTCTCACGTCTTGTTGGAGTACAATGGCATAGATCTCAGCTCACTGCACTTCACCTCCCCGGGTTCAGGTGATTCTCTCCTGCCCTCAGCTCTCCTACAGTCGACTGGCATTGCAAGGCACCTGCCACCCACCGCCTGCTAATTTTTAATATCTTGCTAGTAGAGACACGTGGTTTCACCATGTTGGCGACGCTGGTCTCGAACATCCTCGACCTCAGGTGATCCGCCCACGCTCGCCTCGCCAAAGTTGCTGGGATTTACAGTCCGCTGTGCCACCGCACCCAGCCCAGGCGTTTCTTTATATATAAAAATATGTGCCATATTGTTGATGATTTTCCACCTTGGTAAAAAGCAAAGTGAAGAAATAGTAAACACGTGCTCAGGATGAATAAGGGGGCTGATGATTCTTTTAAGAACGATCTCTCCCCTGGCCGGCGGCGCTGGTGGCTCACACCTGTAATCCCAGCACTTTGGGAGGCTGAGGTTGGCGGATCGCGAGGTCAGGTGATCGAGACCATCCTGGCTACCACAGTGAAACCCCGTCTCTACTAAAAATACAAAAAAAATTAGCTGGGTATGGTGACGGGTGCCTGTAGTCCCAGCTACTTGGGAGACTGAGGCAGGAGAATGGTGTGAACCCAAGAGGCGGAGCTTGCATTGAGCCAAGATTGCGCCACTGCACTCCAGCCTGAGCAACAGGGCCAGACTCTGTCTCAGAAAAAAAAGGTGTCTCTCCCCTTGGAAGCCTGTTAAGTGATGGCTTTGGGAGGTGTTCTGAGACTTTGGATCTTGGGAATCCTTACCCTACAGGGAATGGGTCTCAAATTATCTCATCATCTGCTTCCCCAGGGTCGCCATGGTACGGTTCTTCAACTCTGCCAACGTGCTGCAGGGATTTCAGATGCACACACGTACCCTGCGCCTCTTCCCTCGGCCTGTGGTAGCTTTTCAAGCTGGCTCTTTTCTAGCGTCACGTCCCCGCCAGACTCCTTTTGCTGAGAAATTGGCCAGGACTCAAGCTGTGGAGTACTTTGGGGAATGGATCCTTAACCCCACCAACTATGCCTTTCAGCGAATTCACAACAGTGAGTCCACCTGCCCTCTGCTCCGCTCTGCCTTCTGCCTCTGTCCTCTTGATGGACTTTGATTTTTCCTTTGCTCATCTTTGACCTGTGCCTTCTGTCCTTGCTCTGCTTTAGACTTTTTCCTGCTCTTCTTTCAGGCATTGCTTGCCTTTTTTTCCTTGCTGCTGACTTTCTATTCTTTTCCCTCATGGGGTAGATATGTTTGATCCAGCCCTGATTGGTGACAAGCCTAAGTGGTATGCTCATCAGCTGCAGCCTATCCACTATCGCGTCTATGACAGCAATTCCCAGCTGGCTGAGGCCCTGAGTGTACCACCAGAGCGGGACTCCGACTCCGAACCTACTGATGATAGGTGAGCATCCTTAGGGTAGCAAAAAGGTTTTTAAGGTGAAGAGGCTCTCACTAGCCCTTCTTTAGCACAGAAGAGGCAATCTCATAGGCTTCCCATATCA